CAATTCAATTAGAAAACAATTCAATTAGAAAACGGGCAATAGACATTTTAATAATGAGGATATATGGACGGCAAACAATGACACAAAATGTTAAATATCACTAGCCATTGGGGAAATGCCATGATGGGGAATCTCTATATATCTATTAGAAGAGATAATATAAAAATACTAACAATACCAGATACTGGCAAGGATGTAGAGGAAGCAGATCTCTCTTACACTGCCAGTGGGACTGTAAAATGGAACAGTCTAGAAAATAGATTGGCAATGTCTTTAAAAAAAACAACTAAACACACACTTACCATATGACCTAGCAATTGCATTCCCAGAGAAATGAAAATTACATCCATACATAAATCTGAACATGAATGTTCATAGAAGTTCTACTCCTAATAGCTAAACTGAAAACCAAAATGTCTTTTAAGAAATAGTTAAACGGTGGTATATCCATACCATAGAATACTACTCAGCAATGAAAAGAAGTGAGTTACTGATAAATGCAGTAACTTGAATGTATCTCAAAAACATCATGCTGAATGAAAAAAAACTCATAAAATGACATACTTTATTATTCCATTAGATAAGATTCTCAAAACCATGAAATCATAGCCCTAACTGGTTTGGCTCAGTGGATAGAGCATCACCCTGAAGACTGAAGGGGCTGGGTTCAATTCCAGTCAAGGGCACAGGCCTAGGTTGTGGGCTCAATCCCAGTGCGGGGTATGCAGGAGGCGGCCAATCAATGATTCTCGTCTTTGATGTTTCTATCTCTTCCTCTCCCTTCCTCTCTGAGATTAATAAAAATATATATATATATATTTTAAAATCATGAAATTATAAAGTTAAATAAGTGGTTGCTGCAGAATAGATTAGTGGTTTCTAGGGTTTAGGGAAGGTGGGGGCGACATAGAAGGTTTCTAAGACTATACATGGGTAGCATTAGGGGGATGTTCATGGTGTTGGAATAGCTGTGAATCTTGACTGCAGTGGTAGTTAAATTAATCTTCAGGTGATAAAATGTCACAAAAGTACACACACCCCAATGTCAGTTTCCTGGTGTTGATAGTATGCAATAGTTATGTAAGATATAACCATTGAAGGAAAGAACAGGTCTGTACTATTTTTGCAATTTCCTGTAAATATTTAATTACCTCAAAATAAAAAATTAAAGTAGTACCTAAATATCTGAGGATAAGGGAAGTCATAGCTTTTTAAATAACAAGGGTCTAGCCCAGGGGTGGACAAACTTTTTGACTTGAGGGCCACAATGGGTTCTTAAACTGGACCGGAGGGCTGGAACAAAAGCATGGATGGAGTGTTTGTGTGAACTAATATAAATTCAAAGTAAACATCATTACATAAAAGGGTACAGTCTTTTTTTTCAATAGTTTTATTCATTTCAAACGGAGGGCCGTAGTTTGCCCATGGCTGGTCTAGCCACTCTCCTTATTAATCAAGGATGAAGCATGATAAAAAAACAAAGACAGTTTTAACAGTGCCTAATATCAGCCAGACACTGTTTTAAGTGCTTCCCACGTATTGCCCCACTTAAACCACATAATAACCTTATAAAAGCAATACCACAACCTTATTCTACAAACAGGAAAAGGGAAGCTGATGGAGGTTAAAGTAATCTGCCCATGGTCATACAGTAAGTGGTAGAGCCAAGATTGAAACTCAGATGGACTCAGAGGCATGCCTCCTGCATGCCTCGGTAACAAGTATAAAGATGCTCAGCAAAAACATAAAAGGTATTCAAAGTGTGTGCAAAAGTCTGGATTATTTATTGATTTATTAGAGAGAAGAAGAGAGGGAGAAAAGAAGAGAGGGAGGGAGGAAGAGGGGGGAAAGAGAGAGGAGGGAGGGAGGGGGGAGAGAGAGGATTTGTTGTCCCACTTATTTATGCATTCATTGGTTGCTCCTTGTATATGTCCTGACCAGGGACTGAACCTGCAACCTTAGCAAATCCAGAGGAAGCCCTAACCCACTGACTGAGCTACACAGCCAGGGCAGAACCTGGATTAAACAAGGTTAAACCAGATTATTTTATGTAGGGTTCTAAGAATGCCAATGTGTACCCTGGCCAGTGTAGCTCAGTTGATTGTCATCCTGTGCACCGAAAGGTTGCCAGTTCTATTCCTGGTCAGGGCACATGCCCAAGTTGTGGGTTCCATCCTAGGTCGGGCACATGTGGGAGGCAACCAATCAATGTCTCTCTCTCTCTCTTTCAAATCAATATGAAAATATACACATATAAAATGCCAGTGTATCTCATGTATCCAGAAAGTAATGGTATTTGGCCAGGAAGCTTTTTTCCCCCATAACAATGTTCTCATTCAAACGTTAAAATATTTAAACTAGATTTATTCTGATCATTTCACAATACATACAAATATCAAATCCTTATGTTGTTCACCTGAAACTAATATAATGTTATATCTTTATTTTTTTAATCTTCACCCGAGGATTTTTAAAATTGATTTTAAAGAGGAAGGGAGGAGAGGAGGAGAGTGAGAGGGATGGGGGGGGGGGGGGGGAGAAGAGAGACAGACATCGATTTAAGAAACATTGATAGGTTGCCTCCCATACTCACTCCCAAATGCAACCTCCGTATGTGCTCTGACAGGGAGTGGAACCTGCAGCCTTTTTGTATACAGGATGGTACTCCAACCGAGCCATCCAATCAGGGCAATTATATCTCAATTTTTTAAAAATAGTTTAAATGACCTGATCTTAACCCACTTGTCTTCTTTACCTATTGGCAAACTACAACTGCTTCAAGCTACGCTGTCCGATGTGGTAGCCACTAGTCAAAAGGAACTATTTAACTATAAATTAATTAGAATTAAATAAAATTTAAAATTCAGTTCCTCAGTCACACTAGCCACATGGCAAGTCTTTTAGACTTGCTTCAGCCTGGCCAGTGTGGCTCAGTGGTTGAGCGTTGACCTATGAACCAGGAGGTCACGGTTCGATTCCCACAGGTTGGGCTCCATCCCCAGTAGAAGGCAGCTGATCAATGACTCCCGTCATTGATGTGTTTCTTTCTCTCTCTCCCTTCCTCTCTGAAATCAATAAAAAGGTATTAAAAAAAAAGACTTGCTTCAAGGGCCCCATATGACTCATGGCTACCATATTAGACAGCACAGATACAGACTATTTCCGTCACTGGAGAAAGTTGTTGGTTGGACAACACTGGGTTAAAGGTTTGCTTTTGTTTTTTAAAAAACATGAGGCCTGTACAATTTCCAGAAAAGCACGTTGTGAATTATTTACATGTAATTACCACTGTCCCCCCATAAACGAGGTGCTGTCAGGAATGCTTGGTGGGGCTGGCTACTGCCATCTCATACCCAAAGAAGTGGGAAAATGCATAGGAGAGAAAGCAACACTGCACAGCAGGGAGATGACGCTGACATTGGGATTCGGGAGATCTGGGTTCTACCCCCTAGTAGGTCAATGATTTGTTTAAGAATTTTAAAATCTTTTACGTGGTACTATTTTGGGCCTTAGTTTTTTCCTCTTTTACTATATAAATTTGAATTGGGTGATCTCTAAAATTACCTCTAGCTCTGAATGGTTAACACACACACACACACACACACGAAATGAGGTGAGAAATAAAGGTAAAAATAAAAGAGAACAAGATCACTGCATATTGATGGTGGAACTGGCACTCTGGTCAGCCCGGCACAAGTTCTACTCCTGAGATTAAGATTTGGATACCACCACCAGAAGAAAGATTTACCTGGATTCAATAAATGCCATTGAGCAATTATTTACAATGAACTGTGCTATTTGGAAGTAGCACCCAAAATAAGTAATGATTGGTGGTAGTCTTAGTTTTAGCCTAAGACCAAGTTTGTGAAGGAATCCAAGACTCACAACACTTAAGATTGGAAGACGGGTTCATTAACATGTTAATAACCTAACTGGCCCAGTACTAAGAAACACAAAAGAATCTTAAAATCTTCTTGAGAAGATGCAACTCACAAATCACATAAAATCATATACAAGGTACAAACTCGGGGCATAATCAAAATTCTACGAGAATATAAACAACAAATGCTACGGGTACTTGGAAATAGGAAGACGCCAATTCTGCCCACCCTAATAGCTCTCTAGAGTCTAGAACCCACATTTAACTAGGTAGCCCTACATTTTCTGTGTTAAAGATTCTTGACTTTAATCGGGTTATTGGGATTAAGTAAATTATCCGTTGGTTGTGCCAGACAAAATAAAATGCAACTGGAATTCTCGCCTCTGATACCTACTTCTGCACACCCCACGTTTTAGGGGGCCCGGTGGGTTCTGCTTCCTAGGATCGAAGGAGAGAGAAAACCTTCCCCATCCCTTTCCTGAGGATTAAGATCTAATATGAAAATTAAAAATGATTTTTTTTACCCGCAGATTTAAAAAAAAAAAACACAAAAAAAAACCACGAAGATAAACTGCGTTTGACATTTTACCTTGCAGAACCTCAGGCGATCAGTGTGAATCGAGTGAACCTCCCTACGAATTCAAACTCGTCACAGCCCCAAAACATACCCGGCAAGATTTGGGAGCAGAGGAGCGCGAGCATGAAAGCCACCACCGAGGAAAACAGGAAGGAAAGGATTTTAGCGACAAGCCTTCCCTTTGGAAAGGCCGTTTTTTTGGATGCGCCACCTACAAATCCCACGCCGGGGACCGCATCGCGCGGAAACCCTGCCGAATTTGAAAACAAACGTCGGCCAAGGCTCCGGGAGGAGCGGGCGGGGGGGACGGGGCAGGGGGCTCGTGAGTAACTGACAGCTCGGCCTGGAAACCAAGAGCCTCAAGTAGGTCAGGCTGTGTCCACGGGGTGCGATCCAGGGGCCGCCCCGGTGGGCGCGGGGGCGCGGGGGCGCGGGGCAGCCAGAGGCGGGCAGGGGCTGGGCGTCTTTCCGAGCGAAAGGGGCGGGATATCTGCGCCGAGAGAGACCCGGAGCCCCAGCTCGCGGCCGCCCGCCGGCTCTCACCTCTCTTGGGGGCCTTGATCAGGGGCACCCCACCGGCCCTCTCGCCGTTCTCCTGCTTGTCCTTGTGTCGGAGATCGCCCGGGACGCAGGAGCTGGGGCCACCGTCCGAGCCGCGGTGATGGTGGTGCCGGTGCCGCTCCTTGTGGCCCTTATGCTGCTTGGGCCCGGCGGCCGCGCTCACCGTCAGGGGCGAGAAGGTGAAGAGGGCCGAGGTGCCTGGGGCTGGGAGCGGGGCGGCGACGGCGGGCCCGGCGGGGGCCAGCGAAGGCGGCGGCGGCGGCGGCAGGAGCAGAGGTTCCACCGGGCCCGGGAGGGTCGGGGCTGCATTCGTTGGCGGCAGCGGCCCGGGATGTTGGCGGCTGCGACGCCGCCGGTGAGAGGGAGCCAGAGGGGAGTCCTGGCTCGGCCGCCCCCGCTTCTCCTGAGACCCCCCACTGCTCGCTCGGCGCTGCCGCTTCACGCCCCGCGGCGAGACCCCAGCATGGGGCTTCTCCTTCCCCTCTTTGTCCGGCTCCTCCTGCGCCGCCACCGCCCGTACTACGCGCACCGCTCCGACCTGCGCAGCCATTTCACCCACAAACACACATTTAAATGGCCCGACCGCCCCCCCGTCCGCGTATCGCGCAAGCGCATCCCGCGCACGGCCCGCTGGGCATTGGAGTCCCTCCGCTGCCCTCCACTTGTCGGCGGAGCCCGGTCCGGAGCTGAACATGCCGGAAACGGCCCTTCCCCGCCGCTCTCCACAGGCCTCTCCACCAGCGCTGGTCCAGCCCCCCGGGCCGCGCGGAGCCTCCTGGGAGCGGTAGTTCCCCCCGCCCCCCGCCTTCTGCCTGGCTGCGGGGGCGGAGGAGCGGAAAGAGAGCGTGCGCCGAGTCACGCTCCGGGCTGCGACGCAACCGCCGCTGGGCGGAGAGTTGCCGCCAACCGCCTTAACGGCCCAAACAGTGTTGGTGGCTCTCGGAGTCGGGCGGCGCGTTCCTATTATCTTCTTCTTCCCTCCTCCGTCATGGCACGCGGACTAGGTGGTCTCCATAGTTACTTTAAAATGGCATGTTCCTCTTTTGACCTTTGTGAGGTAAAGGAACCTCCGGCCTTTTCTCCTTAAACGAGCGATGAGATGAAGAGGGAAGGGGAACTTGGTGTATAACGCGAGGGCGGCTTTGCTTTCAGAGGCTAAGGGCCCCGCCCGTGGGCATTGCCATGGTGACCGCTCCGGGCGTAGCGAGGCAGGTGCCCGCGCCTCCGGGGAGCCTGGGCGCGCCGCCCCGCCCCGCCCCGCCGTCCGCCCACCTCCCCCCAGCGCCTGGGAAGGCGGAGTCCATCGCTATTTTGAACACATTCCTACAGTTAGAGGGAAATTCTAGCTGGAAAAGGGTTTTTAATGTTTAAGGTGTTTCACATCCTAAGTATCGGGTTGCATAAATCTGAGATGTGTGCCTATCGGAGAACACTCCCCAAGTCGCCTCTGTTCACCAAGGCTTCCGCGCAGAAACTGACGGACAATTTCCCAGTCACTTGAGTTGTGCCTAGGATTCTTGTAGCGTATTCGGTCCTTGGTGAGGGTATTGGGGCTAGTTGATTACGATGAGGTACGCAGATAAAAGCCAGTGGTTCGATGCCACACTCCGTCGAGCTCCCTGAAAAACAAGCTCGCGGAGCACCTGCTGTGTTCATTGCGCTGCAGTGACAGGTAACGTATCGCCTCACTGGGCTTCCCAGTGAGAATACTACGTATCCCTCCCAGGCTTCTAGAAGCCACAGACTTTTTTAAAAAAATTAAAAGCAGTTGAATCATTTCGGGGAACTCTGGAGAATCCTTTGTAATAATTACTAACATTTGTTACATAACATTAGATTGGAAAGATCAGATACCCTTAAAATATGTCAGATCCATACTCATTTAGAAAAAAAAAAAAAACACTTTAAACTAGTCGTGCTTCTGATTGGCTGTAGGTTGCACATGTTTACACAGAACCTGTGAAATGAAGAAAATGCTACCAAAAGATAGCTATTTTGTTAATCATTCTAGATTTGGTAATTGAGTAACTTTGGTTAAAACTTATCAGGGATGTAACTGAACATCTGGTTAGTTGATATATGTAAATAAAAAGATTACAGTCATTTTTTACATATTTTATTCTCTTAAATATAACTTCTTTTCTTACTATTCTAGTGTCCCACAACATTGGGAAAGATGTTCAAGGTATACTCCATTTAGGCAAAAAATAACTCCCAGGGGACAGTCATTGTCATAAGCAGTAATTTTGTATTTCAACCACAAGATAAGGTTTTTAAAAAAATTGTTTAAAGTAAATTCTGGCAATGTAGACATTTAATTGAGATCCAATTCTTACCAATCCTTCAAGTTTATATTTATGTGAAAAGTAAAGTCAAATATAAATAACTTCCAAAAATGAAAAAAATCCATTCCCAAACTCTTTCTCCTGTGGCTGAAGTGGCAAACTTTCTCTGCTGTTTCCAACCCAATGTAAATGAGACTCAGTGTAAAATTTTTGGCACTTAATTGTGCATTGCTTTTCTTAAGAGCTGTTACCACATTACCACATCTGCACTGTTGACATTACGAATCTAGAGCACTTTACTGTAGCTAGCTGTGTTCTGGTAATTTTTCTTGGCAGGTGCACTTGCAGCCTATAGTCCACAGTTCTGTTAAATATTCCAATTTGATGGTGGGTTCCTTGGTCCTTTGGGTTTTGAAAAACGATTTGCAAAACCTGGGAACAAAAATAAAGCTGAGAGTGAAAAGGGGGAAAGGATTAATATGTACAAATTGCCAGTAAAAAACAGTCATGGGGATATAGAATATCGTCAATAATAATTTAATAACTATGTGTGGTGTCAGATGGGACTTACCCAGGTGATCATGTTCTAAGGATAAGGGAATATCGTCAATAATAATTTAATTACTATGTATAGTGTCAGATGGGACTTACCCAGGTGATTACTTTTCTAATCACTATGTTGTACACCTGAAATTAATATAATATTGTATACCAACTATTATTGAAAAAGTACAAATTTTTTAAATAAAACTGAAAAAAGTTTTTTATATAAATATGAATACATGGATTTTTTTTAAAGGTTAGGCAGCATCTTTGATCAATTTAGCAATAGATTGTAAAGGCATAACAGTAATTAAGTTAATGCTGAAATGATTATAGAATGCTAATAACATTTTATATTTGTAGAACACTTACAAATTTAATAATGGTAATAATTAGATAAAGAAACCTGGCATAATGGTCTTTAGTAGTTCAGCATATTTTTTTTCAGCTTTGTTGAGATATTATTGATATATAACATACAGGGTGGGCCAAAAGTAGGTTTACAGCTGTTTGGATGGGAAACAATACAATAATAAATAATAGTACAAGAATAAGCTCTGTGTTTTGCTTACTCACAACTGTAAACCTACTTTTGCCCCGCTCTGTATCTAAGTTTAAAGTGTACAACATGGTGATTTGATACACATATAGTTATCTAACACCTCTATCCCCTCCCATAATTACCATTTTTTGTGGTGATTAAGGTTTACACTCTTCAACTTTCAAGTGTATAATACAGAACTGTTAGTTATCATTACCATGCTGTTCATTAAGTCCCCAAAACTTACTCATCTTATACCTGGAAGTTTGTACCCTTTAACCAACATTTCCCCATTTTTCCCCATCCCCGCAGCCCAGGCGACCACCATTCTGCCCTGTATTTCTATGAATTCAGCCATTTTAGATTCCACATATAAGAACACACAGTATGTATGACTTATTCACTTAGCATAATGCCCTCAAGGTCCATTCATATTGTTGCAAAAGGCAAGATTTCCTTCTTTTTTTATGGATAAATAATATTCACATCTATAACTTACCTTTATCCATTTTCTTTATCCATGCATCTGTCAATGGACACATGAGTTCTGTGTTTTGGCTACTGTAAATAATGCAGTGAACATGGGGTGCAGTATCTTTTGAGATAATGATTTCATTTCCTCTGGGTTTATATTTAAAAGTAGAATTTCTGGGTCACATGGTACTTATAGTTTTAATTTTTTTGAGGAACTTTCATACTTTTTTCCATAGTGACTGGACTATTTACATTTCTATCCACAGCCTCACCCACACTTGTCTCTTGCCTTTGATAATGACCCTTCTAACAGGTGTGAGGTGACATCTCATTGTGGTTTTGGTTTGCATTTCCCTGATGATTAATGATGTTGAGCATCTTTCCATGTACCTGTTGGCCATTTATCTGTGTTTCTTGGGGGGAAAAAAAGTCTACTCATGAACTTTGCCTATATTTTCATTTGACTTGCAAAATAAAATCCTTTATCTACATCTTTTCAGCTACCACTAACTTATCAAAAAAATAACACTGGGAAAGTTCAGAAAAATAAGCATTATCCTATATATTAAAACCCTAATATGCAAATTGGCTGAACCACAGAACAACTGGTCGCTATGATGCACACTAACCACTAGGGGTCAGACGCTCAACTCAGGAGTTGCCCCCTGGTGGTCAGTGCACTCCCACAGGGGGAGCACTGCTCAGCCAGAAGCTGGGCTCATGGCTGGCGAGCACAGTGGTGGTGGTGGGAGCCTCTCCTGCCTCTGCAGCAGCGCTGAGCAGCAGCAGGCGGGCAGTAAGGAGCGAGGCGTCCCGGACTGCAAGAGCCCTGGACTGTGAGGGGGCGCAGGCTGGGCTGAGGGGCCCCTCCAGTGCATGAATTTCGTGTACCGGGCCTCTAGTTGAGGCCCGGTGCACAAATTTGTGAATGGCTGGGGTCCCTTGGCCTGGCCAGCAATCAGGGCCAATCGGGGCCACGGGAGGTAGGCCAACCAACCTGATCAGGGCCATTGGGGCCGGCCGGGGCAAAGGGCCGCGGGAGGTTGGCTATGGGAGTGCGCTGACCACCAGGGGGCAGCTCCTGCATTAAGTGTCTGCCCCCTGGTGGTCAGTGTATATCACAGCGACCAGTCGACCAGTCGTTTGGTTGTTCAGTCGCCCGGGCGTTCGGTCCTTCGGTGGCTTAGGCTTTTATACATATAGATTGTATTAAATTCACTTATACTTCTGCTTCAGTCCAGAAAGCCCTCCATTTACTGAGAGCTTATGTTTGAAAAGCTTAGAAAAAATAAAGTAATAAACAATCCTGGAGAACTAAGTATGTAGCTAATCATTTATATCTCTCCCTCAAACACTCCCCCCTCACCTATCCCAAAGAAGGACAATGCAAAAATGTTGCACAACCAATAATGGCTTTTTCTTCGTCCTTTCAAAATATATGAAGAGTAATGACAGTTGGTTCTTTATCACTTCAGCAACACATGACTTCTCTTTTCTTTGATGGAGGATATTTTCAAGGTTCTCTTACACTTAGCCGCTTTAGGAGTGCAAAGTGAGCAATGAAAGATTTGAAATACCAAAGGAGAACAGAGAGTGGTAAGCTTGAAGATGTTCCTGAACCTTTCATTGCATCATCATCTTGCAAAATTGTGGGTAGGCCCTGCAGAACTGCTGAAAGCATCAGTGAGATATTTATTAAAGCATCCAGCACAATGCCTGACACATCCTAACTCATGTGTTGCTTACATCTGAACCATTTGGTTACCTAGCTTTATTTTCTGCATATGCTAGGCAAATCCATGTAATAGAATACATAGTGGTATGTAAGATGTTAAGCGGTAGCTGGGGTCAAAAATAAAAAGATAAATTGCATGAAAAAGAATATAAATATAAGGACCTATACATGCAACCTCAAATCCTATTTAAAGTTGTATTTCTTATACTATAAAAGAA